GGATGTTTTCTTGATGCGCACTTAACCTTTATATAAAACTCTCTCTTATACATGAGTTTCTGTGGATTTGTTTCTCTAAAGTACCCAGACAGACACAACTGTGGACTCCCCAAAGAGCAAACACACCTGTCTTAGAAGAAGTGCAGCCAGAAGGCTCCTGAGAGGCCAGCAGGGGTGAGACTTCATCTCACATGCTTTGGACACATCGTCAGGAGAGACCAGCCCCTGGAGAAGGACGCCATGCCTGGGAGAGGGGCAGCGACAAAGGCGAAGGCCCTGGACAAGATGGGTGGACACCGTGGTTGTCTCTATGGGCTCAAACCTAAGAACAATTGTGGGCGTGGCGTAGGACGGGGCAGTGCTTCATTCTGTTGAACACGGTGTCGCTATGAGTCCAACCGACTCGGCAGCAGCACCTAACAATGCATCGAATAAGCGTGCGAGGAGGATGGAGGTGAGGATGGAGCCAAGCACGAGCATGAAGATGCCATCCAGTCATTCCTTCCTTCATTCCTTCATTCCTTCCTTCCTTCCTTCCTTCATTCATTCATTCGAGAAGCGCGTCTGGTCACTCACTGACTGTCTGCCAGGCCCTGTGCCAAGGAAGCCACACTGTAAGCTGGTCCTTGTCCTCCGGGAGGTGACTCACAGGCCGGGCTTGGAGACACTGAGAGGCCAGAGAGTCCTGAGCCCCAGCGGAGCCAGCCTCAGGAACCTGCCTTGGGAACTCAGTCTCTTAGCAGAAACAATTCCTGCCCCAGCGGAGACCCCTCTCTGATAGCGAATGCACAGCGAGCCCCAAGTCAGACTCCCTGCTGAAGAGCAGGGTTCCCCGTTGGATGTGGGGAGGGGGTCTCAGGGAACTCCCAGCCTGGCCTGGGAGGAGATTTCTGTCGGATGGGGGACACACAGAGTCTGCCCCGAGGGAGCTGCCAGTCTGATGGGAGAGGCAGGTCGACCAGACCGGTGATGGGGGACACTGATGGAGCCCAAAGGAGCAGCAAAAGGGAAACAAGCGGACACTCACTCACAGGAAACGGAGCGAACGCGTCCTGCGGTCTTCCTGATAGCAAGGCCAGTTGGTACCAAGGGCAGCGGGAGGATCTGGGGAGTTGCAGCCGATGGAAAGGAGCCCTAGTGGCGCTGTGGTTAAAGCGCTCAGCTACTAACCCAAAGGTGAGCGCTTTGAACCCACCGGACTCTCCACTGGAGAAAGACGAGGCAGTCTGCTTCTGCAATCACGACAGCTTTGGGGACCCCCCACTCCCCCCTGCCAGTTCCACTCTGTCCTACGGGCCGCTCTGATGTGATGGCGCTGCTTGGGTCTTCAGATGATGTGATGGCGCTGCTTGGGTCTTCAGATGATGTGATGGCGCTGCTTGGGTCTTCCGACAGAAGAGGCGAAGGGAGGGGAAGGTGCTTTCTCGTGCCCTCCCTCCCCCTCCCTCCAGAAAGGCATTTCTGGAAGTCTCCAGTTGCTCCAGGGCCTGGGCAGCTGCTCTGTGTGTCCAGGGCTGCCAGCTCTCAGCTGTCACTCTGCTCCCAGAATAGCAGTGACTGACAGAGGAGGAGCTGTCTATCTGGGATGGCGGTGGAGAAGGGGTGCTATAACTCTGCCTAGGGACAGGGGCCAGCTAGCAGGGTTCCCGTCCCTTCTGGATCCTTCTCGCGCTCTCTGGGGTGTGAGCACCTGAGTCCTAGGACTGCCCCTGAGCCTCCGCGTGGTCATGATGGTCCCGTCTGAGAAGGGGAAGGGCCCTGAGTATCAATGACACACTTCAGGGACACCTGCCCCCGTGGCCAAATATGGTCTGGAACCTCTGGCCGCCAGGGAGATAAAGTCTCCCTAGTGGGGGCTGGGAGGAGCAGACCCAGGCTGTGGGGCCAGAGAGCCACACC